AATAGAAATGTTTCTGATTCCTTTGCTAGCTCTTGGGACCCTTTTGATCCTACTGGGTTTCCTCATCCAGAATTGAAATGAGGTTTGTGCCTAGTCTTATTTCATCTTGTTATGCTGTTTTCAGTTGATATCTTTGGAAGCCTGCAGGAGGAGAGGCTTGAATTACCTCTACTAAATGAACCAGGCTCTGCTGACTCCTCATGGGAGGACTTACCTTGTTAGAGGAGGGAATGGGTGTTGGTGTGGGGGAAGATTGGATGCGCAGGAGAAGGGAAGAAACGGGGCTATGTGGTTGGTATATAAAATGAATACAAAATTCCTTAATAAAAGTAAAATAAATAAATGTTATTAGTTAATATAAGGGAAAGGATATGTAAAGAGTAATCATAAAATACTTTACATAAGGACTTTGCTTTATAAGCAATGATTTCAAAGCCATGTTGTGGCAGGAATCTTAGAAGGTCTTATTAATAAAATCAAACCTGAGCCAGGTATTGGGGTGAATGCTGAAAGATCAGAGAGACAGAACAAGCCACAGCAAACCTCACCTGGCCAACTTCTCAGGTGATCTTCTTTCCTCAGACTGGAAGCCTCTGTGTCCTCATATCCAAATGGATCTCAGCTGAAATGCTGCTTGAAAGCCAGAATGCTGAACCAGCCAAATGCTGCTACATTCTGGTCCTCAGGACTTCTATACTTTTCTGCTTTCTACCACCACACCTTGTGATTAAAGGCTTGCTTTCTGGGATTAAAGGCATGAGTCACCATGCTTGACTGTATCTTTGAACACAAGGATTTCTGCCTCTGAAAAGTTAGGATTAAAGGTGTATGCTACCACTGCCTATCCTAAGTATCTAGTGGCTTTTCTGTTCTCTGACACCAGATAAGTTTATTAGGGTACACAATATTTTGGGGAACACAATACCACCACACCATGTGAATAATATCCTGCCAATGAGATCTTCTAACAATGGTATATCATTGGCAATCTTTTCCATATTAAGAGAATCATCAAATGGACATATGGTGAAAACTGAAGGTCCCAAAGCTTGCAAGAAGAGTCTCAGAAAATCATTTGAATAAAGTGATTTATTTTTTATCCTGGTGGTTTATTTCTGCTGATGTTTATTGTAACTCAGTTTAGTACTTTGCTCTCAGTAGAAAAGAACCTGAAGTTTGTAATGTTGATGGGAACATAGTAATCTAAAATAATAGAAAGTTACATGAAAGTAAGACAAAGCAGAATAAGTGTATAGATAAGGAGACAACCCTAGTTGATAGTACAGAATGTTCCCCCAAGTCATTAGGTGAGAAGAAAGGAGGCACTGGTCAGCAAATTCCACAGCAAGATGTAAGGGAATAATTTAGATTGGTGGAGAAAGTAATCTCCATCCCAATAAACAGACATTTATTTCCCTTGCACTCAATTCACATTGACCCCTAGTCAGTTCTCCAACATGAGCAACTGTATTTTCTTACAAATCCACCCTGAATCCCCATACTTAGTGTCTAGTCCATGACACTGCAAAAGATGTGTTGCTGTACTTCCCATTCATAGTCCATTTCTGTGTTGATCATGTCTACAGCTGTGACAAGCATCAAACACCAGTATCCCAAGGACCACAAGGACTAAGGCCGCCATCCCCATTCTGAGCAGATTCTCCACTGTGTGATGATCCTGTGTCTCTGAGTCTGTGGTTGTGGAGAAAGAATGAAGGAAAGAAGAAAATCAACTTTGGAAGATCAGATATCAAAACCCTCAGAAAAGTTGTATGAGTGAGAATTTGTACTCACCTGTGTTTGTTTTGGACATGTTTTGTGATATAGTGATGTTCTCAGCAGATCCTAAATACAGAAGAGAATGTACACAATTAATGAAGTACATAAGAGAGCAGAGAGTCTCCTCTGAAGTCAGCATTCATATTTCTAGTAATTTTCATTTCTTATAATTGCTTATTAGGCTACTCACAAAACTTCAGAAGGATCCAGTATCAATCATTTCCCTAGGGGCCATGGTTCCTTCTGGATTCTTCACAGACATTAAGTTGTTTGAGTTCACACTTCAGACTAAGATATTAGAGTATGATGTTTTTTTATCAACATAAGATCTAAGTATTAGTGAAGAAAATCACCTCCCATTTCCAACTCAGAATTTAGGAGGCCTTCCTATCCTTTCTGTTCAGTCTAGGATATGGAAACATGCAACTAAAATCATGAAGGAGAAATTGTGTGTGAGGTCCAAATCAATTTTTTGTATTCACCACCTCTTACTCACATAACCATGCAATGTAAGACTGACTCCTATCACTTTTACACATTTACCTACTGTTCACCCAGCAGGAAGGCATTAAATGATTAAATGCAAGAAATCCAAACTTCAGCTGTGTTCCCTACTCTGAAGATAAAATGCATGAACTGAAAGGAAGGAGCCTGAATGCCTTGTCCTGGCTCTGTTGCATACCCATAAACAGTGTTACCACCACAGTGTCAGATACGGCACTAAAATTTTGGAAGTGGTTTCTCCGTGTGAGGAAGACACAGAGAAGGTCAGAATTAAAAAGAACTTAACATCTAGGCCAGTGCTTTCCAGTTTACAGTTGTGGAAACTGAGAATTTGAAAGGAGAGCGGCTTTTACATGTGTCTGTCCCTCTCAGAAGAGACTCCATCTATCCATATTTATATTGAGTCCCTGGACCAATCCTCAACAGAGTTCTAGTTTAGTCCTCTATGGTCAGACTCCAGGGGGTGAAGGGAGAGTCTAACTGTGGGTGATACCATCCTTGAGGTGTTCATCCTGGATTTTATATGAAAGCAGACTAAGGAAGCCATATAGAGCAAACCATTGAGCAGCACCCATCTAAGCCTCTGTAATGACACCTGCCTCCAGCGTCCTGACCTGTTTGAGTTCCAGCCCTGACTTCCTTTAAGGATTAACAGTGCTGTGAAAGTGTAAGCCAAATAAACCTTTCCTCCACAACTTGCTTTTTGATGGTGATATTTCATTTCAACACTAGAAACCCTAACTAAGATAATACATTCTTCTATTCTTTCTTGGTCAATGTCATGGGCTCTCCCATCTGAGCAATAGATGCCAAGAGCTCCCTTCAGCCATCATGACTGGAACCATCCTCAGGGCAGCAGAGCTAGTGATAAAGAGTTCTCCTATCAAAAACTGTTGAGCAAACAAGAGGTCCTCATCTGAGACAAATATCTCCAGAGGGTTACTGGCCACTGACCACATATGTGGTCTACTTATGAAGTATCCATACTATCTAAAGGGCCCACTCTTGTTGGATGTCACAGGGATCTCAGGAAACAGAGCCTGGGACTGTCCGGTGTGTGTGTACTGAGCATTGGGGGACCTGGAGAAATTCTGTTCTTTCCCAGTTTCAGTGAATCAATCATATCTTTTTGATGAGACACAGTGGAGGTTCACCCTCCCATCTGAGGTATCAACAGGGCTGGGCCATGATGACAGAGTAGGTTTACCTTCAATGACCCTTAGTAAAAAGAGGACACAGTCTGTTAAATGATACATTGGCACCAGCAGTTGGACTGTAGGTAAAAGCATTTTGGAAGATGTATTTCCTGAGGGAAAATGTTGAGGACATGATGTACTTGATCTCACAATTAACATGGGAGATATCTGGAAAGTTATCCATGCAGTGTGTCTCCTCAACTGATGGAATAAATACCTGTTTTCTACCAAGAGACCTGAGAGTTGATGTTGTTAATAACCAGGGGACCATGTATCTGTAGCTCCAGACATCACCTGAATACCCCAGAATATTTATCCCAGACTCTGTCTCCCTAGACTTTTTCATTAGCTCTCAGTTAATAAAGTCAATCTTAGGCAAGATGTGCTATACACTTTACAACCTGCTGACATCTACACTATGTCGGTCATTGACCACACCAGATTAAAGGCCCCTTAGCTATAGAACCCATCTTCATGGTCACATTTGAGTTGAGTTTTGATGCAATAAATCCTAGGTGTTCACTGGATTTATTATTACACCAGGAATCTTTTTTTCCAAATTTGTACTGTGTTTAAACTTGTTTACAATCAACCACATGGTGTCATACATTTTAGAAGTGTGAAACAGCAAGTATTATGTTAGTGTGATCAAACTTTTCCTTGTTATTGCATGTGGGTAATATTCTCCCAAGCAAGAGCTTTCAGGGACCCACACACAGAAAATGTGAAGACTGTGACCCTTAGTTTCCACAGACCTGTCACCACCAGCTCCAGGTTGTCACTGTACTGTGTCCACCCAGCAGAGTTATAACAGTAACAGTGATATTGCCCTGCATTGTGCTCTCTCATTAATGGAATGATGAAGTTGGCCTTGTGATCAGGCAATGGTGCAGTTAATCTGCCCCAGGGTACTGGGCTTCCTTCCTTATACACAATATATATTTGGGTTTCCATGGTTCCCACACACCAGATTGTCACAGGATTCCCTGTGGTGATCACAGAGCCTGGCTCAGCCCAGATGCTGGGTTTCTTGAGGGTCCCTACAAAGAAGTAGGTGATAGGGATGTGGGACTTTAAACAGTTGCACATTGGATATGGTACTTGGACTTGACCCTTGAATAACAGGAAGCATGGAGCCCTCTGAAGACTCTTCTCTCTCTCTCTCTCTCTCTCTCTCTCTCTCTCTCTCTCTCTCTCTCTCTCTCTCTCTCTCTCTCTCTCTCTCTCTCTCTCACCTCACCCTCCCAGGTTCCCTTTTCAGAACACCCCTCAGTGGTTTCTGTATCTTGACTCCCATAATCTGTATGCTGGCCCATATGTGGGCTGAGGAACCTGTCCTTCCCTGTACTTATCATACATTACAGTCTCCTGGGGAAACCTGTTTCAGTTTCAGTGTCTTTCAATAGAGAGGATGGGGCTTCCTCACCTGAGACAAGAAGCTCCAGGATGTCACTCCCTTTTGACAACACATGAGGCTCCCCTGAGTAATAGCCATAGCATCTGAAACTCCATCTTTCACTACGTGTGATGGGACCAATTTGGAATCTGGCTGGAGACAGGCCAGTATATACATATTGTGATGAATTCATGGAACTGTAGAACTGCTTGTCCTTAATTAAAATGAACGTGTCAAATCCTTGATTTGAGTTACATGAGAGGGTCACAGATCCTCCTAAGGTTACAACAGGGTTCGGCAGTGCAGACAGGGTGGGTTTGCTGTAGACATCTAGGAGGGATACATATGGACTATTAAATGGGTTCACACAGTCTGGATTGTCCCCAGACCTGAGTCATGAGTGGGGATACATTCAGAGAAGACTTTTCTAAGGAGTCACATCTGGGGATTCATGTGATTCCTGAGTATCTACTCACCTGTCACCACCAGCT